ATTCGTCAGATTCTGCCCGGGGTTGTCTGTATGTGTAGCCTTATCTGTGGTAGACGTGCGTTCGCCCATACATGTAACCATGTAAGGAACTTACAGCTCATCCGAACAAAAGCATGACAATATACAGAGACACCCGGGACATAGTTTGACAAGCTTTGGCACAGTGAACCATGGCTCTGATACTTTTCAAACTAAAGTAGTCCGAGCCGTGGCGGAGCTGGGTGTGGTTTGCCCACTGTCACACGCCCAGAATTTGATGAATTTTAATTTTCTAAATTCACTTTTGTTTTGTATATGAACAAACATTATCAGTTTATTTCTGTTACAGGACGGAAGACTTTTAGTTATATTAATGTTATTGTTTGCATGGTTATTGAAAAACATTACCTTATTAACATGTTTGATATATCAATACGAAATGTTTTACATAGCGGTTCAAAATGTTCAGGACACCTGTACACTTATATTGATGACAACAGAATCTGGTGAGCTACTTTACAATTAGTATCCTACTAATAATATAAATGCGAACGTTTGTATGTTTGTTACTACTTCAGGTCAAAATGGTTAAAGGGATCGGGATGAAATTTGGGACAGACAGGGGTAGATCGTGGTCTGGAAAACACATAGGCTACTTTTTGTCCCACGGGATTGCGGGAGAAATCGCCGACAGAAGCTAGTTTCGAAGCTAGAGATGAATCGAACATGTTTTATATGTAAAAACGCGGGTTACTCCCGTGAATATACTGAGAAAAGCTCTACTAGTTTCGAACCATAGAGGGGTTCTTCCTCATGAGAAACCCGGAATCGAACCCACGACCCGCGCCGATGGTGAACGTACCGTGCGCTTTAACATCGTCCAACGCGCCGCCGGAGTTGGAAGCAAACGCTCGTAGTGTCCGACAGAGGGCGCGTTAGGCTCGCAGCGCAGGTGGCAACTCCGAGGCGAGCGCCGACGCCAGCCAGTGAGCTGCGCGACGTCGCCGCGACCGCGCACGCTGCTCATGAGGAAGAACCCCTCTGTGGTTCGAAACTAGTAGAGCTTTTCTCAGTATATTCACGAGAGTAACCCGCGTTTTTACTTAATTTAGTATGTCTCACGATATTTATTATAAAAACATGTTTTATATGGTAGACAAACATGAATTGTCTTAAAGACAGCTATGGTAAACTCTTGGAAAGGTTTCTGACTCTCATATTTCTCTTATACTTATACGAGAAAGGCCTCGTGGCAATAAATAGTCCAATAAAAGCCAAAGACCAATGAAGGCGTAATCAGGCCGATAGACCAACGAATAGTCTAATCTGTAAATTGAATTAAAACTGCTACTGGAATTTTAAAGTTACATTTACTGACGACCCTAATCTACTTAGGTAAAAGATGAAAGAGACCGTTTTCAAAGTGGTTGCTGTTTTCTTCGCAGATGCAGAAAAAAGGCTTCATAAGAACATGCTACGCTTGCACCGAGCTACATTCAGCAAGATGAGTCTGTACGGCATGTTCCACGTGGACGCTGCGTTACAGCAGGGGCTGATGTTACTACTTACTGAATATACTGTTGTATTGCTACAGTTTGCGTTATTGTAAATTGTCATAAAATTACTTTGTTAGTTTTTTTTATATTTATTGATAACTATCATGACGTGCTTTTAATGCATTCTTCGCTACTCTCATAATTATTTCATTTAAAACATCTTCAGTTCAATTGTCTCCTTAGGGGCAAACGAAGTCTCTGTGGTGATTTATACTATCAGTAACTATTTCAACTTTTATTCCGTCTTTCTATCCTTATCTGTATCCTTCTATCTACTTATTCGTAAAACATTAATTAACTATTCACTTTATAAAACATCAAATTTCATTTAGGTACGTATATGTAAATAAAAAAATAAAATAAAAAAACAACATTTAGTATTTTAATTAAATTAAAAAATAAAATTTAGTATACGTTTATCATACGAAAACACAAATAAAATGTAACTAACAAATTAATTAGAAAATGAATTAAACAAAGAAAAACAAAAAAATCTATTAAGAAGTAAGTAACAACTGTTGTACCCTGAAATTTTATAGAAATACGAGCTGAGCCGGCGAATTTCGTGACGGGACGACGTGCTCCATCGTAGACCGCATCATCGCTTATCACCAGGCGAGATCGTGGTCAAACGTCGGCCCATCATATATAAAAATTACTTCGTACAGCCTAAATTTTTTCCCCGCTAATGTTCGATGTTCGAACATTTCAAGACCAAAATAACATGACGTCTTGTGTCAACTTTTCTACCCTAAAAGCAAACGTTTTCCCTAGACCTCGTGTTATATTACCTTCTATTGAAACCAGAAATAAAGATATTATTAACACTTTTACCTGATTACTATTAAGGCAAAGTTCCCGTGCATGTGGTATATTTATATGGTACCAAGGCTTTGTCTGGGTTACTGTTTTACCTGCTTTGAAAACTTCTTTATCTGAAATGCTTAACTTTCTTTCAACTATTATAATTGTTCGGACTACTGTAATAAGCGTAAAAGTTCTTTGTTAATAGTAATGGTTTATTCCATTATACGCGATCTTCTTACTAGATTGATTATTATTGATGAATAAATTGAGGAATAAAATAAATCGTGTTCTACAAATATTTTATATTATAATATTTTGAAGTCGGTTTTAAAAGAATTTCTAATTTAGATCAACGTTTACTTTTAGTGACATTCACAGTGAGGAACAATTAAACAAAATGTAATTACTATAACTAATTCTATTTTTATTCAAATTTTATATTCACAAATAATTTACACAAATTGCTACAATAAAGAGATACATATATATACATATTTACAAACAACAGCATTCAATATAATATTATATTATTAAACATCAATAATAAGTACGCCGGTGTCTGGTGAACTTAATCGAGTACTATGGTAAGAGCCGCGATCTATTTCTAATTCCTGGTCGGAATAGTGACCGCTGTCCACAGAGTCCATCCACATCGGGAACCTGTCCGGCTCGACTGCCACCGGCTGCTCCTTGAAGTATTCGTGCTCTAATGCAGCGGCTGCTGTTATTCGTCTTGCAGGACAGTAAGTTAATAATCCTTCCAGTAAGGATAAACCGCTATCAGAAAGCTCTTTGCTGCTTATCTTTTTGCGCAACCCGCCCGGTACATAGTTATCAAAAATGATGTTTCTTACCGGCGGTAACGAGCTGTAGCCGGGCCAGATTGCGTCAGACGGCGTACCCAAAACCATAAAAATCTTGTTCAACTGGTCTAAATCAGATTTGCCAGGGAACAGTGGCGACAAGGTAATTAATTCAGCAAATATACACCCAACACTCCACATGTCTATAGGAGTTGAGTATTCTGGGCTAAGTAGCAGAAGTTCAGGTGCACGGTACCACAGTGTGACCACGCCCGGGGTATATTGCTGAAGAGGGAATCCATATTCTCGAGCCAATCCAAAATCTGCCACCTTCAAAACACCATCTTGAGACAACAGTATGTTAGCGGTTTTGAGATCTCTATGTAGAATGTGATGGACGTGAAGATGTTGTACCGCCCTCAAAAGTTGCGTCATCAAGCATTTGACGTGTCCTGAGGAGAATATTCGAAGGTTTAGCCGCATTGTCTCCAAGAAACATTCTAACTGGCGCGGCACATATTCCATTAAAATGAAAATTTCCTCATTACTAGAACCCACCACTATCTCCCGCCCTGCGACAATGTTTGGATGTCGTAATTTGAGTAGGGTGTTCAGCTCCCTCTGAGCAGCAATGGAGAATCCTTCGCTTTCGTTCAGATCTTTAAGTCGTTTCAGAGCAACTATTTCATCTGACGACTTATCACGAGCTTTGTATACAACGCCGAATGATCCTTCGTCAATTGTATTCAGATATTCGAACTCTTCAATGAACCGACTGTTCTTTAACGCTGAATGGAAGGATGGTTCAGCAGCAGTAGGTTGTTTTCGTTCTTCTTTAATCTTTTTCAAGCCATTGCAGCTCTTTTTTTCTCTCCGTGCATCGTTTTTGTATCTGTACAATATTCTTTTCTTCAGACCATGTATCTCTTGATGAGTTTTTGGAAGTACAACTTTGGGTGGTGAGCGTAGCAAGGTATCAGCATTGTCGATTAGGTTTAGAGAACTCATTGTCAGTTCGATAGTATACAATCACTTCACTTCACTTCAAAATGTGTTGAGTAGTAACGTTTGCAGTCTAAACTGTAAATGCGCTCGTTCTTTAAGGTCCTGCCCTTATATAGGCCCTAAAATACCACGCATCCTGAGAGACAATGACCACTCTTTGAGTACCGTCATTATAGACACAATTAAAGAACAATAGGTTGCGGTCACCGGTGACCGCTCGGTGTTTGACAGTTTAATGCGTTTATTCATAGTAACACAATAGGGTAGTTAACAATTAGTTTGAATCGATACAATATTTTTGCTATGCCTAAAACTATTATTATTACTTTGTTCATTTTAGTTCAGTGTACGCGTCGCGCTCAACAGAGCAACACCACGTCGGTTTGCTCTTACGGTTATTTTAATGTTTAAAGTGGTTTAAGCTCGATTTTTACGCCAGTTCTTTTCAAACAAATGTAGCTCACACCCTATCTGAGCTAAATACAGTTTTCGGTCTAAGTTCTGTGCAGTGAAACAAAAGTTATTACAATTTTAATTTCAAATAAATCTCTCAACGGCTGACTCGCATTGACCGGCGTTGGTGGACGCTGCCCCGCGCTACCCCCTCTCCTACCCGCTCCGCCGTGCCGCGGCTACTCCGAGTGTGGTTGCGCAGTTGCCGCTCTGTTTCGCTATCGCTGTGCCACTCTCGCTGGATTTAAATTTCGCGCGCTTTGTTGCCGCTCTGCTACGCTAACTGGATTTAAATTTGAATTGTCGCGCGCACTGCTTCTGTGGTGTTTTATTTACCTTATTGCGCTAACGCTTGATATTTATTAATTATTGCATGAATTCCGCTTGCTTTTTAATTATGATTTGTTCTGCCTGTAACAATGCTATTGAAGGCGAGGAAGATTATCTCAGTTGTACGCGCTGTGACAAATTGTACCACCTGATATGCACAGGTCTGCAAGCTCCTAAGAATGTCACCAATATTTGGGTCTGCCCAGAGTGTCAATGTGCCAATAAAAGAGGTGGTGATAATAGTTTCACCCCAGTGGGCCCTTCACAAGATCCAAATGTAACTCTTAGGAGAAAAGCAATGACTAATAGTCCACTATTTGAGTATAACGAGCGTAGCGACCTCATCTGCGAAATGAACGCTCTGCGCTCAGAAATGTCTGGTCTTAAAGAATTGCTTACCAAAGCGCTTTCATTAGTGAGTAGTCATGAGGATAAGCTTCAGAAATATGCTCTTCAAGTTGAGCAGCTCAATAAGAGGCTTGAAAAATATGAAAATAGTAGTTTGAATAATAAATATGTCACACAAACACAACCCAAGACTTCGATTGCAACTACGGCTGTTGGCACCAATATCGGAAAACGTAATGAAAAAGTCACTAAAATGGATATTGCTCAAATTACATCACCAAACCTCATCACTAATTTTGAACCTAGTCCTATGGACTTAGCTGGCACCCAAAAGACCGCCAAGGGCAGTGAGTCCACACCAACAGCGGTACAAAATAACGATGATAATACTGAGACCGAATGGAAGCTAGTGAAGAGGCGTAATCCTCGGAGGCCTACGCCATTACATGGATCAGCCGACCCGGCTGTTATTAATTTGAAGGCCGTGGAAACTCGTAAATTCCTCCATTTGTGGAACATGGCATCCGGAATTGAAGATGTTCGCCAGTATGTCAATCAGCTATGTCCCACTGGAACCAACACGGTGGAAGAGCTTACACCACGAGGCGACTATAAGTCATACAAAGTTGGCATTGCTGCTGAGTATTGGGATACATGTTACTGTAATGATGTTTGGCCCATGAATGCTAAGATCAAACCGTGGGTGCACCTCAGGAGACCGACTCGCACAATAAGAACCGGCGGTGGTGTGTCGGGTGCATCAAATGTGTCGCAACAGCAGTCCTTTCGTGGAACCATTAGCTCACAATCGTAAAGTGAAGGTTCATCGTCTCGATATTTTTTATCAGAACGTTCGCGGTCTGAAAACTAAGCTCTCTATGTGGCGCAATAACCTTGCCTCTCTGGAGCATAACTTGGTAGCTGTTACTGAAAGTTTTCTTGATTCTACTGTTGTGAACTCTGAACTAGAAATTGGTGACTGGAGTGTTTTACGTCGTGATAGAAACACGCCGTGCGGTGGCGTTCTTATGGCGGCTAAAGCGCCCATTGTGCTTTGTAGGAGATGTGAATACGAAACAGATTGTGGGGAGGATCTATGGGCGACCTTTACATGGGGTGGTCATGTATTTCTCGTTTGTGTTGTGTATATAAAACCCAGTGCTATTGATGAGGACTACATGCAGTGGTTTTGTAAAACCGAAAGTTTTATGAACGATTTCAAGGGGCCTGTAATTATTATGGGCGACATTAATCTGAACAGTGCATCAGTCAATATAAAGAATTACTATTGCTATTTTTTGTCTTATTGTTCACTTGAGGATAGAAATACGATTACTAATGATCACGGAGGATTTTTAGACGTTATACTGATTCGGGAAGGCTCTCATGACGTTTTTGTTACCGGGACTGATGGAATAGTCCCACCGGATTGTTATCACCCTGCATTGGATGTTGAGGTAAGGGTCATATCAACTCATTGTTCAGATTCAATTGAACCAAGTAATATAAACCCTGATAAAGACTGGAATTTTAACAGATGTGATTTTGAACGGTTATACCAGTTATTGTCGGAGGTCGCTTGGGAACCTGTTTTACAAGCAAATAATGTATCCACCGCCGTAAATACTTTTTACAACATAATTTACTAGCTTTTACCCGCGGCTTCGCTCGCGTCACAAAAAGATAAAACGTAGCCTACGTGACTACCCATCCCTTCACCTACCTTCAGTTGAAAAATCACGTTAAGTACCTCCGTTTTGCCGTTTAAGACAGGCAAACAAACAAACAGCTCTTCGCTTGCGTGGAATTCGGTTATAACGCGCGTTTTAGATTTTTCCGTGGGAATGAGAAATTCTGCCGCGGTAAAGCCTTGCTTTTCCAGGACTCAAACTACCTTTATACCAAATTTCTTCAAAATCGATTCAGCCGCGTGAAAGAACAGAAGAAGTTATTTTCGCATTACCACAAATACCTCCTCCCATTTTAATTTAAAAGACTTCTATTTCCTATAAGGGTTATATTTGCAACGCTAAACCAAAACTGAGTGGTAAACTATATTATACGTTTTATTATCGAAAACCTACCTAACTACTTTAGACATCTACTTAGAAATAAACCACTTCACTAATCTAACCTAACTAATATAGCTACTGTATCAATCAACGTAAACAATGAATAAAGCGTCTTAGAACGACGAAAAAAAATTACTATAGTACTTTAAATACTAAATACTAATATCTACCTAGAAAAAATAACACTTGACTAATCAAACCTACACAGCGAACAAATAATAATAATAATCAATATAAGCGCTAGATGCGTACACTAAAATATAGTTGACTGCACCATAGTATAAAGAACAGAGTAGGTTATCTTCATACAAATGCTCCGCGCGCGGCTTATATGTGTGCGCCATAGTATCTATGCGTCGACGCACGCACACTTCAACAAAATCTCGACCCGTTTCTCAGTGCGCCAGGCAGGGCTAACACTGCACGAGGTTCGCGCGCGCATCACTTTTCGGCACTGTTAAATGAAATAAAAAATGTCTGATAACCGTAGAAGAACGTATTGCTGTGTGTTTGGGTGTCTTAATAATTAATCGATTCTAGAACTGTCTCTGTTCGGATTACCTATTGAACAGGAAAGGTAAGCTAGTCAATTTTCCTAGCATAATATAGTTTGTAGGTACTTGATGATGAGATACCTACTTACTTATTCTTACTCTTATCATTCTTCATAGTTCCTACTCAACCAGAAATGTAATACCTACTGTACTTAAATATTATAAGAAAATGTGATATTATATTGTTTATTTCACAGTTTATCTGATTTGTTAAGAGCGTGGCCGTGTCGCATTTTTCCATATAAATGTATTCCCAAATTTACTTTCTGAATACTATGTATAGAGCTAAAGTTTATTTTAAGAAGTTAATAATCTTTTTATAAGCTTTTTATTTTTACTAAATTTATAAATTGATAAAATATTCAATCATAATATGCTTTCCATTTCATAAATTTAGATCAAGTGCTGCTTGTTCGAAAATATTAACTAAAAGTAAAAGTGACAACCCTGGGGATCAACGCAAGAGTAGGCTAATAACTCGGCGGGCGGCCTTAGATAACCTACTGTGTTCTTTATACTATGACTGCACGGTTGGTGCGGTGGCTGGGCAACCGGCTGCCGTGCAACGTGTCGCGGGTTCGATTCCCGCACGGGACAACACTTTGTGTGATCCACGAATTGTTGTTTCGGGTCTGGGTGTCATTGTGTATGTGAACTTGTATGTTTGTGAAAGCACCCACGACACAGGAGAAAATTCTAGAGTGGGGCAACGTTTTTATTTTTTTATTTTTTTTTAAAGAATATAGTTGATACGGAAGCTCGGAACCTATACTTTCGCCGGTAACGAAACCATAGCGCCATCTAACTCGATCCTAACGCCATCTATCGAGCGTTGAAACAACAGCGTACAATATATTTGCTAATTGTTGAGTATTGTTGCCACTATGGTTTCGTGTACCTTTAACAACCTAAAATCTATAAAATACGCAACTTAATGTAAAATGGTTAGAACCAAAATTTAAAAGCGAAGAATACTTAAAAAACACATCGCTATTCCACATAGACACCAATTTCGTGTACCTTTAACAACCTAAAATCTATAAAATACCCAATTCAATGTAAAATGGTAGGAATCAAAAATGAAAAGCGATAAAAATACTTAAAAAACACAACGTTACCCCGGTTTACAAAAACTCAGCGCACTCTATCGCCAAGTAGCGTAACTACTACATTATAATTTTGTGTACCTTTAACAACCTAAAATCTATAAAATACGCAATTTAATGTAAAATGGTTAGAACCAAAATTTAAAAGCGAAAAATACTTAAAAAATAGCGTAACTACTACATAGACACCAATTTCATGTACCTTTAACAACCTAAAATCTATAAAATACACAATTCAATGTAAAATGGTAGGAACCAAAATTTAAAAGCGATAAAAGTACTTTAAAAGCACAACGCTACCCCGTTTTATAAACACTCAGCGCCATCTATCGCCAAGTAGCGTAACTACTACACAACGTTACCACGTTGTGTTTTTTAAGTATTTTTACATATAAAATAGCAAATAAATGAGTCGAAAAGCGCACTGAATAAGTGTAGATTAACACCAATAAGCGCTATAGATTAAAGCGTGAAATTTCCAATTAGTAGGTAATTCGTTGAATTGTTTTAGAAGGCACAAAGCGCCATCTACAGGAATACACACAGCGCCATCTATACTAATATTTTTGTTTTCCCTCGGGAATATCACATTTTTCCGGAATAAAAAGTACCCTATTATTTAATCTGGACTTCTAACTTTACGTCTGCAAAATTTCAAAGCAATCGATGTAGTAGTTACGCCGTGAAGGTGGAACAAACAAACAAACAAACAAACTCACTTTCAGATTTATAATATTATTAGTAAGGATAGTATATTTGATGATTGCATCCCTAAGAAGCGCCGTGCTAAATCTAGAAGTAAACGTTACCCTGTCTGGTTCACTCCTGAGATTATTAAAGATGTAAAGCAGAAACTCAAGCTTCATACAATCTGGAAACACACCAATTGTCACGAACACTATAAATCATTTTCTGAATTAAGAAGTTCATTGAAACATCGTGTCGTGGATGCTTACAAAGCATATATTTACCGCATAGAAAATAACATAAAAGTTAATCCACTAGCATTTTGGCGGCACATCTGTAACCTACGTTCTAAGGGAGGTTTTGAATCTAGAGTTAGCTACCAGGGCAACAGTTTTACCGGAACCGCTGCCGCTGACGCATTCGCCAGTTTCTTCTCTAGTGTATTAATACCTGATGTACCATTATTGGACGTAGCATCGATCAATAGTTCTGACACCAGTCGCAACAACAATTATGTCAACATACTGGGTTTTACACTAACTGAAGTCATACACGGTATAAACAAATTAAAACCTAGTAGTTCTATAGGCCCAGATTGTATTCCACCCTTTCTTCTGAAACATTTAAAGAAATCATTTTCCTCTCCATTATGCCATATATTCAATTTGTCTTTAAAAACGGGCCACTATCCCATCCAATGGAAGACTTCCCGAGTAACACCTATACCTAAGACTTCTGATAAATGTGCAGTTGAGGGCTATCGACCTATTGCTATATTATCTTCACCAGCAAAAATTTTTGAACACGTCTTACACAAGTTGATATATGCACAAGTACAGACATATCTACATAATGCACAACACGGATTCAGACAAAAACGATCGGTTAACACCAACTCACTGACATTAACAGAGTTTATATCTGCTCAGCTTGATATAAAACGACAAGTCATTAATGACATCCTGCTTTTAAAGCTCAGCACTTTAGGTTTCTGTCCGAACCTCCTGCGTCTTCTTGCAGACTACCTCCGGGATCGCCAACAGTTTGTTCGGCTAGGAACTTATGACTCGAACCCTTACCACACACGCTCAGGCGTGAGTCAGGGGTCGATTCTTGGACCTTTACTTTTTCTGTTGATGATAAACGACCTACCATCAGTTCCCGAATACACAAAATGTCTTCTATACGCAGATGACCTCAAACTATATGCCAGTGTTAAAACTGTGCAGGACTGTGAAGCCATACAAAAGGATGTTGACGCTGTCTACGAATGGAGTGTAGCAAATAAAATTAATTTCAATGTATCCAAATGTTGTGTGATGACTTTTGGTCGAATGCGGCATCCAATCTACTACCAGTATAGACTGAATGGTACAGTTTTGTCCAGATCAACGA